GGGATGGCGACGGCCCAAGGCCACACTGGTCTGCCGACGGGTCAAATCCCCATATTTTTTTTTTTGAATCAACCGCCCAGCGGCAGCGGCCAAGCCGGCGGCCAGCCTCAGTGGCGACATCGCCGGAAGCGGCGCAATCGTCGGCAGTGGACGAGAAGATGGAAAACGGGTGGGTTACAGTGCAATCCAAGATTTGCAGGTTCAATTCCAAAATTGTTCAAGCAGAGAGAATTGAGGGAGATCTGGGAAAATTGTTCAGTTCCAAAATTGTTCAATTTTTCCCAGATGCCAGAGATCCCTGTTTCTCGGCCGATTTCATACAGAGAGAGAGAAAGGAGAATTGAGGGAACGATTGAGAGAGAGAGAGGGGAATTGAGAGAGATATTTCCCATTTTTTATGATTTAAAAAAATAAATGAATAATAATAGTATTAATATTTATACGGGGAGTTGGGAGGAAAGATAAATATGTAATAGGGAGTGTAGAGGAAAATAAAATATATTGGGGACTCACAAGGAAGATGATTTGTGGATTGGGAATTTTAGAGGAATTTACCGTATTTTTATTATAAAAAATATATGCAGTATCTTAAATTTTAATTAATACTATATATTTTCTTGCAGAAAAGTAATAATATATCTATATAAAATGTATATTCAAGATATTTTTACTTAGTTTGTTCTGTCGGGTTATTTCGAGTTTGGTCGAAATTTTCAGTTTGTACATCACAATTGTATCATTTGTAAAGAGGATATTTGTAACGTGCATATACACATACTTAATGTGCTTTAATTAACAATATTGTGCATTCATTATTTTTTTTTAAATTATAAATTTAGCCCATAAATCAAATTGTAATATATTTAAGTTATAAAATTGCAATTATGTCCCTAAAGGATATCAAATTTTCAAAACAGAAGCCCCCAAATTCAATCCTTGTTCACAATAGTCCCTGTCAAATCAGCCCGTGCTTGCCGCTCTCGGACATTATCTTCCCCGCCAATATCTCGCTGGTGATTGATTTCATCAATTCTGTTTTGATTTTGATAGGAAAGTGCAAATCATATTCGAGTCGATCCACTGAAAGAAATATGAACATTGAACCTAATGGTGTAATAACAGGTCCTCTTCTTGTTAAGTGACGACGGCATATCGTCTTCTCCAATGACGGATGGCGGAAAAACGGCGACCGCGACGGGAATAAAAAGTGTCGGAGTCGGTATTCACCAAGTACACCTACAGGCAACTAAGCTTTGAGGCGGAGGACGGAGGTGACAAAGACGAGATGGGCAGTGGCCGACCGAGGTGACAAAGACGAGATGAGATCTCTGGATGCCGGACCAGACGGCGGCATAGACGGTGGCTGGTTGGTGCTGCGGGAGATAGGAACGCTGTATTGAAGAAGGAAATTACCACTACTCCAACGTGGAGATGGGATACAACACTACACTAGAGATGGAAATGGGAATGCATGAAGTCGGGGAAATTGCCATTTCCCACTACTTCAAAATGCTTTTAAGCATCTATAAGACAAGCGCCATATTATATATAATCTGAATAGGGTCATCACAGAGATTTTAATTTTTTTTCTTAGAGAAAAACATGACAGGATGAGAGCTAGAATTACATGTAAAGCTAATTAATCCTACAAAAATCAATTTCCCACCAAATCCTGAAAAACGGTAAGTTACGACCGACCGGCCCTAGGTTTCGGAGATTATTCCGGTCACAATACCTAAGGCAATGGTTCTTCCTGATGATCTAAGGAACACCCTTCCCAGACTTCTACAGCTGCTGTACTCTTCCACACAAACTGGGCCATCCAGAACAACCTGAGAGGTTATGTGAATGAAGTCAATAAACAAAATCTCGATAAGAAAACAAAGTGTGAGACCCTTATACTGACCTCAACAATTGCATTCTGCTTGGCCAATAAACATCTTGGGGACTTTTTTGTCGTTTTTCCTGTCTTCGGATCAAGCAGAGACGACATTTTAGCGACCCTCGCAGCCTCCTTTGCATGGTGTATGTGAAATTCAAACTGCAGATGAATCACCGGATAGAAGTCGGTTATGCTTGAAAAAGGCTTTGCGTGTGTAACTGTAAACTCCTTTAGTTGTTTGTTGTTACCTGAGAACCAATCACTATTGGGGTTGAGACGGCCTCCAGGACAAGGATTTTCAGTTCCAAGCGGTTTGCAACTTGAACCGGGTAATTGGGGTGGCATATCACACCACCAGCTGTCACACGATTGGCCTCAATACCTTGCAGATTTACTGTCACGTTGTCACCAGCTCTTGCCACGTCACATGGGCGAGAATCCCGTTCCAAACAACGGGCAGTAGCTATTTCTCTTGAAGGCATAACCAATACCTGTGACCAACCACCAAAAAAAATAATAATAATAAATAAATAAAAATGTTACAATATATGGTGTTACATTATAGTCCACGAAAAAGCAAGCAGATTATAGATAGATTTACTAAATGCAGTCTAAACTCAACTAAAGCGGATAAATGCAATTTTTATAGTTTAACAGCAAAAAAATAAAAAAATAAAAAAATTCATAAATTGGAAACCCAACAGTTGTTAATCTTTACGCTAATCTGTTTTGAGTTTAGTCCCTCAGTAAAATATGCAAAAGTTATCTGAAACTGATTAGTTTAGTTATACAGAAATAGTAACACATGAAAAAACCTGTACCTTGAATCCCGTTCGAATGGCCCCACATTCCAACTTCCCACATACAGATACTTGACCTTGTGATTGTGACTTTAACAAATCACATATAGGCATCAGTAGAGGCTTGGAATAATCCCTTTCAGGAGGTTGCAGAGAATCTATTGCATCCAAAAGATAAGGTCCATTAAACCTGCAACCGCAACAATTTACAAGTCCTAAGAAACTTCAAAGCAAGCAAATCATCGAAAATCCAAACAAACATTACTCTTTATAGCCATTGGCCACCGCATATTCAACTAAGTTTCGAAGGCGATATACATAACATAAAACAACATATTCCATAGATAATTAATATAACCAACCAACAAAGTAAAAGAACGCTTGTCCCAGAAAATACAGACAAGGGAATCATACAAAACTTTGAATCTCTGTAGATGATGATATCCACCGCTGCCAGGCTATTATGCATATCACCAGGTCACAAGGAAGTGGATAAGGAGACAAGTTCTAAGCAGATTAAGCTATTTTATCAGTTCAAGTGCATGGGAATTGAGAAATAAAGGAATACAATTAATTGGTGCAACACTGAGATCTAGCGAAAAACACTGGAAGACATTATTTGGTATTTGTGTAGTATAGGCAATAAGTAATTAAAGAGCATGCGTAACAGACATATACCAAGTGCAGATTTAACTTGGCATTGTTCATAGTTGAATAGAGTACTATAAAATTAAAAAAAAAATATAATAAAATAAAAAAATAATAAAGGAAAACAAACCAGGAGAGTCGGGCATCAGATGGTTTTGCTATCAAGTTTTGGTTCTCCATGGCACTTACAGGTATCCATGATATCGAAGAACTTTTAAAACCACAAGATCGGAGAAATGTTCCTAGTTTCTGCTTGACGTCATCAAATCTTTGTTGAGAGTATTCCACCATATCCATTTTGTTTACAACAACAATAATCTGGTCAACTCCGAAGCTTCTAACCAGCTGTGCATGTTCCTTCGTTTGCCCTCCAACAGCGTCTATGCCTACTTCGAATGAACCCATTGAAGCATCAATCACTATAATTGCAGCATCTGCTTGTGATGCTCCAGAAATCATGTTAGGAACAAAATCCCTGTGTCCAGGTGAATCGAGCAGCACAACGCGAAATTTTCTAGAAGTGAAGAAAGCAACACCCACATTCATAGTAACACCCCTTTCCCTTTCCTCAGTACTTTCATCCAATGCCCACGCATAAGAAAATGATCCTTTTCCCTACCCAAACAAGAAAAAATTACATTTCCAGCAATCCTTAAGAAGAATGGAAAATAGTAAGAAAAATGACATTGTTATTACTTGTTGTTTAGCTTCTTTTTCGTACTTGTGCATCTCTTTCCGAGATATTTGCCCCAAAAGATGCAGTAACCTTCCTGAAAGTGTTGATTTCCCTGAATCAACATGGCCAACCTAAGCACAAGAAAATCGTAAACCATGGGTGCAAAAGAGAATCACTCCAATTTATACTTTTGATACAACATCAGAAACCTACAATTGCAACATTTAGTTGACTCAATTCAACATCTACTTTGCTGGGAATCATCCACGCCTCAGGAGTATACTCAGAGACTGCTGCCGCTTTACCGTCATGGGTAATTTCTTTTTCAGTGGCCTTGAAAGATGAAGACTCTGAATTCAAAGTGCCACCAAAGACTTCTGGTTTCTTTTCACTGCATGAAGCGGAATCATTTTCAGTAACTCCATAGTATCTCTCTCTTATCGCTGATGCTGGAGAAGACTCTGAACCCGACTTTGGTTCAATTACAATATTGATTGCTTTATCCCTAGTAACATCACCTGGGAGAATGAATTCTTAGACTTTTCACAACCGCGTGAGAAAGTGAGCACACGAAATGGAACCTTATCAGTAAATTTAAATCTAGATATGTAGATTGTTTTAACAAATGGAATAGCTCGAAAAGATAGATTCTTTATGCACATAGAAATGTTTGGTTTCAGAGAAGCATAGGGAGCTAGTATCAAGTTTCAAATATCAACAGACCCCAAAATGTGAATTTTTTATTTCAAAATTTATTAATCAAGGTCTAGTTGTAGCGCTATCTGCAAGATAATGGCACATACAACATTTTGAAGATATATGTCATTCTGCAAAATGTAGAATGATGACTCTCCATTTCAGATACACATACCCAGTATAAAAATCAAAGGCAAACGCAACACCACAATCATGAAAACAATCTTCTCTATACAAACAGTATTAGGAAAATTATTCCATCAAGTCTGTGGGAAACTTGAAACTAAAGCATCAAAAAGTCCCATCACATGGCAGTTTTTATATAGCCATTTGCCACCATTGATGCAGGAAGAATTAAATATTCAAAATCAGATGATAATGCACTACTGATTTCCATTAAAATTTAAAGGGATTCATTCAATATAGGTCAATTACTAAAGAGGGCTATAGAAGGAAAAGAAGATACCTCCCTTTAATCATCAGAGTATACATAAGTGCTAATAACAATTTGTTAACTTCTGATGATTTTTTTTTTTTTTTCTCTTCTCAGTTCTAATTAGGCAATGTGATGGTACACCTAGAAGCCTTAAAAACACAAAACAACAAATGATTAATTTCTCAAGAAGTCAGTGAAGGACAACTCTGTGGCTCGAGTTCATTATTAAAATGAGGTAAAATCACTAAACTAATTACATTAGCTCCTTGGAAGGCATATTTAGAATCCCTTAGCCATGAGTGACATATAATGACACTTAAGATGATAAATAAGGCTCATATGTAATTAAATACTGTAAGGATCAATATTGTAGGATCACACTGTACACCAGGACTAGAGAGAGAGAGAGAGAGAGAGAGAGACAGAAAGAGAGAGAGATACTGCATGATCAAACTTTGCGCAATACTTCACGTTTTGGTATTTACTAGGCAGCAAGCACAAATACACAACTTGGATGATCAGTAAAGGCATCTACCTTTGGATTTCAATTTCACTGATCGCAATCCACTAGTTACCAAATCATCCGGAGAGGGAGCATCAAATTTGAATGGGGCTGCAATCATTATAGAGAATATCAGAGCAAGAAAAACACACAAATGCACATGCACACATACGTACGCTCAATATAAGAGGTGCATACCCAGGGTAGCAGTAAAAACAATCTAATGGTTTAGGTGCATTTTCTCCTCAAAAAAATAAAAAATATGATTGTCTACTGCATTATAACAGGCTTTAGAAACCTGTTCCAACCTATATTTAGTTTGCGATGATTTTGAGAACTAAAAGCACTATTAAGTTCTTGAAAAGTGGCACGGATATTTCCGAGTTTGGGGTAGTCATCTCTGGAAGTAATATCATTCTGCGCTTCACAGATTATACACTTTTTGGCCATATGTTGTGGCAGTGATGCAAAAAGAGACTTGGCCATCACTGATGCTCCAGAATCTTTGCATATGCCACCCACTGCATGGAAATTATCTACTCCATGAATGATACGGAGAAAATACAAATATATCCAGGGAAATAGAAAGTAGATGCATGCACCAAAAAGTAGAAAGACATAAAGTCTAACCTACTAGCTAATGATTTAAATTTTAAATTCAAATCAATATCAGACAAACTGAATATTTCAAGAATGGGCTCACTAGAAAGGATGTTTGAAAGGCATCAAAAGGAGAAAAAGAGAATTCATATTCGGTATGTTTCTTAATTATATGCAATAATGCTGTGATGAGGTATACAGTACAAAAGGAGAGACACATGTCATAAAAAATTATACCTGCAGGAGTAAAGCTTTCAGTATCGACCTTCACCAAAGGATGGCGTAAAACCCCACATATTTCACATGCTGAAAGATTATCTTCATTATCATAGGTACAAATTGGGCAGCGCCAGACCCCAGCATTGCTGGACGCTTGTTTCGCTTTTGTCATGGATGTTCTCTCTATCAAGGAAATCAATAAAGAAAGGGTAAAGTGTGCATCAAATCCTAAATTGCATGAAGCACATCGAAGCTGCCAGGATAAACAATTCAAAATACATCAAACAACATAAGAAAATGCTTTCATATCTCAAGTTGGGAATTGAAATTTTGAAACTCATAAACATCCTCATGGAGAAATGAAATAAACCAACAAAGCATTCGTCCAAAATAGTTACTTGAGAATATATCTCCCGAAATTAGAATATGTTTATCAGGAGTAGTGTTCACATGAAAATTACATACTGAAACAAGTTTGTCACATACTTAGTGATCCTTGAACAAAATTAAAAGTGACACAGAAACATTATGTTCCCCACCTACCAGATATGCATGCTGAGAAAGTAAATTGATGGTACAAGGAGTCATGCCATTCAAAAGCTAGAAATAATTTCATACTGATAAATGCATGTGGGTAGAACTCATCCCCAAATGCTAGCTCCAAGATAAAGGGTTCCCAACCCACTTATATTCAATAACAGCACATTAAATAGTCAATGCGGGATAAACATAACTTCTAACACCCGCCCTCATGCATAGCATGCCAATACAAATGGGCTGGGTCAAAACCCACATTGCCTTCAAACAAACATTCTTGGGTTCTTTCATCTCATAAAAGGGGAAAATATCATCATCAACATCAACATCAACATACCCAGTATATTCCCAACAGGTTGGGGTCTGGGGGGTCAGTTGTACGCAGACCTTACCCTTGTAATTATACAAGGATAAAAGGGGGAAATATAAATGATAAATTTAGTTACTGAACATCAAAAACCATTACTTTTGACTGTTAGGACTATGGTGTTCAAGGTCTAATCTCATTTGAGATATCTTTCTGTTCCATGAGTGTAGGGAACCATTTGTCACTGTAAGAACCGTTTGCTCAAATAGCAAAATCCTCATAGAAATTAAAGTGTTGAGACCAAATATAAAAATTCGATTCCAATGGGAAACAAGTGAATGCACAACTTTTTAATCAATGCTCCAGTAATGCAGTTCTTTACTCCACAAAAACTAAATAGTATTAGCTCGAGCAAGCAGAAGCTCTTTCATTCCAAGACCTCATAAAAACTCTTTAAATTTCAGATTACTGAGTTGAGATACATGTTAAGTTGCACAAAATCAAGCTAGAAATGCAGATCTTAAATTGTAAAAATATCTTGAGTAGATTCATATTATATTTCCATGCGGAGTTGATATCCTAATTGTATTGATTCAGGCAAGCATGAATGAAATTTCTTGAATAAATGTTAGAGTAATCAATGAAACGTTTTAGAATTTGAGTAGCAATCATCTCCTTGTAATATGGCTTGAAGATTGATACCCCATCCCCTTTATTTGCATGATGGCCTGATTTGTTCAAAATTCTTTTTTCTTGGTTTTTCTTATCAATTTACGGCCACAAGTTAAGCACCAACCACTTTCTAACTCAATTTCTCAAATTTCACTTGATGATAAACCAAACAATCAATTCCATACAAATTTGCTTTCTCTTAATAAAATCAAACTCTAAGGCAGAAGACATAGTTGAAGTAAATCAGTAACTATCATCATTAGTGAAAGGGAAAACTCATATTCACGGTCCTTCACTATGCTAAAGCCCCACAGAGTTGGCATAAAGCCCCATAAGAGTATCAAAACACTATGCACGCAAATTTTTCCTTCCTATACTAGTCCCAACATTGAGAGGGTGAGAACGTACCAGTTTCTTCCCGTTCATAATCATAATAATCATCATCTGCATAGTCATAATCAAAGTCTTCATGAATGCCATAGTCGTCGTCATCATACCCAACTCCGTATTCCACTTTACGGGGCATGTTCCCACGCCCTATCACTCAAAAACAGAATTCGAATCAAACATCAACATAAAAACAACATAGCAAAATCCGAGTGCAGCATTTTATCAAACAATTTACAGATCTCATGAAAACCAAAAATTATTCTAGCATGGACATTGTATCAAACACAAATATGCACCATTTTGGGGTATAAAAACACAAGATGTTTTTGCCTTGTCTCTCACAGCCACTACCCTCATAAACGACCAAGCAAATCTCAAAACTACCTTATACGAAGACTTGGAATTGCAATTCACGGAAACCAAAACTTCAGCACGGCGGTGGCGATTGGTGGTTGAATGCGCAGGTGAGGTAGTAACAATGTTCCTTTGCTGAATGATAAGTGCTCAGAAGTTTGGAGAAGCTGTAGAAAACGAGCACCGAGTGCAATCGGGGCAAGAGTATATTTTAAATAGACATGGCCAAAACGCCGAGCTCGAAAATAATGACCCGGCCCGGCACGGATCTATACTCGGGTCAATAGCCCGTTTGCCCGAGTCCATCATTTCTTTAAAAAGACAATAGAAAAATAAAAAATAGAAAAGACGAGTCATCAGCCCTGCCCTATCCAAATCAGTCGGGCCGAATCATGAAATGGATGACCCTAAAATGGCCCGTCAAAAATCTCGTCCGATCTCGGACCCGTAGTCAACGGGTTTGATCGGGTCAATTCCGTATTGGATCGGCGGCTCCTGGCCATGTTTAATTTTAACGTGGCAATGCCACAATTCCTTTTAATAGTAATAAAATTTGACCAATTTATTCTTTTTTTCTCTAAAAAATTGACTATTTTATTCAAAATATTGACTTTCGCTGCTCTTCTTCTCCGGCGAATCGACTTTCACCGCCGGCACTATCGCTCGACGTTGACTTCCGAATTCAAGCAAGTCGACCGTCAAGGTGTGGTTCCTCATTTGCGATCTTTAGGGTTTGATTAGGGTTTTCTTTTTATCCTCTTTTTTCTTCAATAATAAAAGCTTGATATTCCGGTATTTAGTTTCTCAAGTCTCAGTTTTTTTTTCCTATTCTCTATGTCAACAGAGAAGCAAATTTCTCGATTTCTCCTTGTGTGCTCTCAACCGTTTATTAAGATAACGAGTATTCGACATGTGCACTTGCACAGATGTAAATAAAGTATTGTGAGTTATTTGTATGCATATAACGATTAATTATTTTTTTTCACATTTTTGCTGATCAAATTTACAATTCAAGGAGTTGGAATTTTTTTTTTTTAACTTGCGTTTATCTGATTGGATGTAATGTATATTTTGGTACGTATTTTTTCTGAATTATATATTATTTATTTAGGAATTTCAAATATGTTTTTTATTTAAAAATAATAATTTAAATACAACTATAATAATAACATTTAATCACATTATACGATCAACACATTATATAGTCAACTGTCAGTAATCAAAAGTTTAAAATGACTTTTGTAATTTTAATGTGATTAGTGTTGATTATTTAATAATACATCAAAAGTAACGGTTTTTGAGGAAAAATGGTTAAATTGCCACATAGGTAAAATTAAATAAGTTTTATTAAATGCTATTAGCTAGTAATTATATATATATATATAGATTTTTTCTTGATGGCTCATGTACAATTTGTCTTTCCATTATCGTATAATTAGCAAATTAAACATGTAAAGTTTGATTCATACTTAAAAATATTGAGAGTTTTTTGTATAGACTGCTATTTTCAGAAACTAGAAAATGATTAAAAAAAAAAAAAAATGAATATTGTAATTTGGTACACCGTACACGGATCATTGCTGATTAAATGAATTTGGTTTGTCTGATTTTATTTTGAATGGAGTTAAATGCTTACAAGAATACATGAGACATTATTTGGTGATATTTGTTGAATGAAACCAATTGTGGGGAGCAGCTCTCGTCTCTGTCTCTATTATTTTGTGGGGAGCTTTTCGTTATAGTTTTCGTGTTTTGTGGTGGTGTTGTTTCGTGAGTCTTTTTCGGTTTTCTAGCGTTGCTAGTGTCGGGTTTCTAGGCGGTCGCAGACCTGTCCTCCCATTTTACTCAGCTTAGAGTCGGTTTATTCAACCACGAGTTGTAACTTTGCACGTTTGTGCCTTTTGTTTTATAATATCTCTATCGTTTCGTTAAAAAAAAAAAATCGTTAAAAAAAAAATAGAAAATATATGAGCTAGTCACTCGTTCTAGTAGTTATTTGTTGTCTGATTGCAAGTAACTGTTGTGTTTTATGATTTTGCATAAAAAAAGTTAGTGATATATTGTTTAGTATATTCATAATTTCATTTACAAAGTTAATTGTGATGCTAAATAGCAATTGTAAGTAGCCTTGCTTAACTATAAATTGTTCAAAGTTCTCCTTGAAATCTAAATTATGCTTACATTAATTATACAGATTTAAAAATGTACAAATATGCATAGAAACTGAATATTATTTGTTTTTTTGGCATTGCTCATTCGAGAATAAAATTCAAATTAAAATACACAAAGTTTCCACAGCGTGCTTGCCATTGACTGCTTGATTTTATGAACATAAAATTATATATGGATTGTGATTGAGGTTGTTTTATACCCCTTCGATCAAAAACAAAACATTAAATTCATAAGAAATTTCTCAAGTAATTTCCATCTCTTAATTAGTTAGGTCCTTCCTCTATTTTTTTCATGCAATAATATACAAACGAAAGAGGTAAAAATGAAGAGAAATCATAATACTGCCGGGGACTAAGGAGTAAAATTGAAGTTGAGGTTGAAGATGCCCGAAGTTATCCGTCCAAATATTGTGGATATAATAAACTCACAAGACGACGAGAAAAGAAAAATAAAAATGGTGAAAGTGAAAATAGATCTACATCTATCAAGTGAACAGCCCATATATTTTTATATAAATGCACCAACAATGGAACTTCAGATGATCAGCGACCTGTTTCAATCGTACTGTTAAAAAGTGTCTTGCAACAATCGTTTTGATATGCAAATGCACACATGAAACGCTAATCGCTGTTTGTACAGAAAGAAACAACTGACCAAAAAGATCCGAGTCATAAGTCCCCTTGTCTGCTCCTATGTTCCGTTAGTCTTGTCCAGACGACCTTCCCACAACGTGCCAAAGTTACCAGTGCCATGACATACAGTAGAGGAATGCCAAGCACACAGCCTCCAGGCGCAAGATTAATCAGTGTCTAGGAAGAAGCCAAAGGTTATTTAATTTAAAGAACAGAACATTTAGAAACAAAAACAAAACTAAAATTAAAAAAAAAAAAAATGTCAAAGAAAAATGTTTTTTTTCCTAGATAAGGAAGTCATCGCCTGTTTCATAGCAGAATTTTCACTATATATCAACTAAAATAATCCAAATACTCCAAAGAAACTTAGCTTGCATGAGATGTATGATTTTGTTACCTAGCAAGATTAAGTTATTAGAATAATATTTGCAAGTATTAGAAGTATCATAATGTTGTGACACACTTCCCTAATGTTACCCAGGCAATAATCTTTCCTATAAGAATAACGAACCCCACAAGCAATGCTAGGTTACATATGAATATAATCGACCGAAAATGTTCGAGAGGACAGGCTGTATTAAGTTTCTTGAGAATTTCAAAGGTCGTGAATAGTGGGTTGAAAGTGAATTATTAGTGAGGTTAAAAAAACCTCACCGATATATGTATCCAGTATGAACAGAACATACCATGCAGCAGGTGAAAACAATTAACAAGGACCAAGAATACAATTATTAGCATTTGTGCAGCAGCATGGACAGTAAGAAGCAAAACACTGTTTGTAACAAGGGGAAAGAATAAATATTACGAGCATTCCTGCAGCAAGGTGAACTATAGGAGCAAAATACAGGTCGATTCTGTTTCCTTCCGAGCAACCATTGAAAGCAATAACCATTGAGAAAGTGTGGATTGTGGCAAATGCAAGTGCTATAATAGCTGCAAAAGAAAAGAAGAAGAAAAGAAAAAAGGGAGAAGAAGAAAATTTCAGCTTCAACCACCAGTGATGTGAGAAGTGGTACTGGTAACAGCCATGATACATTAAACTAATTATCAAACTTCATTAAGAAAAGACATACATGCCATTTTCATCATCACAGTACCATTTCAAGGTACATCCAAAAGTAAAAAATGATTAAATCGCACTAGCAACTATATCTACTGGATGCGATTACATTATTTTCATCATGGATTGGCAGCAACTAGTCAGTGTCACACTTCTTATTCCCTTCATAGAACTGATTTTTCACCACTATATGAAATTATAAGAAACTAGATTTTTCCTCACAACAATATACTTATAAGAACTTAGAACACATGTAATATTGCTTACATTAAGTTTCAATTCCTCCCAAAACAACAACAACAACAACATATCCAGTATATTCCCAACAAGTTGGGGTCTGGGGAGTCAGTTGTACACAGACCTTACCCTTGTAATTATACAAGGAGGCTGTTTCCGTAGCGACCCAAGGTGCATTGCGTCGTTTGATATATTTTTTTCTAGAAACTTCACTAATAAAAGAAGCACTAGAATTTAATTGAGTCATTTTGATCTAGTCCATTATTAGCACTATGTCAGGAGAATTGTCAACAATGACTCTTCCAGCTCCATTTCCAATGGACTTACTCCCAAAACAACAGCCAGCAAAAAATTCCCACAATCACAAAATGAACACTACCTTTTGTGCTTCTAATGCACAATCACAGTTTCTCCAAAAGCTTCTCTTATCACTCAATAAACAAAGGTTTATTTACTGTATAGCCCATCTCCAGCTTCACATATCTTCATGGTCCTTTCAAATCATCAATTTTTTAATTGAATTATAACTCAACTGTGAACCCATTCTATATATACATACATAATGACTTGGGTACCAAACAGGGTCCACTTGTTTTGTTCTCATCATCCCAATATCCCATTTTGCAAACTATAAACTATATACTCTAACTGTATATTCAAATGAAGTTGTATTGCTTTCTAACCACGCAATTTACATCCTTTTGAGTTGCCCATTTAACCTAGCATAAATCGGGTAACAATGATGCACAACATCAAGATGGCTGGTACCTCATAGTCTATGTTGCAAGAGAAATTGTTCATTGAAGATTGAAAATTCTTGATGGGCTTAAAACAACGAAAGGAAATTTTTCATAAACACAAATTAAGGTCAGTCAGCATGTGCAGATACACAGGCAAAATAGGAAGAAATTATATTGAAAGTTGGAAACTTAAGCTGTAAAACATACTATTTGATCATAGTCCAAAAAGGTTACACCTTATAGGAAAGTTGTCGATTTGATTTCAGATTCCAACTAAACCAAGACAGATTTAATAATCATAGAAGTCATAATCCCGAATGCACAAGCGATTCCAAGATTAATAATAACTAAAAAAAAAAAGAGATGACGCAAATATTGTTTATTACAAAAAGGATATGGTCAGATTTAGGTGAAATATAGGCTAACTCAATCATTGATCAATTCAAATTAAATGTCCGTTAAAACAACCAGACACTTACCAGATACAAGAAAAAATGGAATCTGAGAGCATTTCTCCACATAATAGGTTGCTGGGCCAAATGCAGGCGTTAAAAGGCTTATGCAGAAGAAAATAGCATGGGCCACACCATGACCCATTCCACCGGCTGCAGACCAGAAAACAGTAGCACTTAATAAAGCACAATAGCAAAATTACAGAACTGTTTCACACACTGTGCACATTATCTAAGAATCTAAGAACCCTTTTGGGGGGTCAGGGGAAGTGGTCAAATTTAGTTCTTTTACCTTGATTTAAATAGATGGGTCCTGAATCTTAGGGAGATCAATGAGACGGAATTAAGATTACTAAAGAGTATACCTAATTTGTTCCGTATTCCGTTATAGATTTAGGGCAACGAGGGTCTCGTTAAATCACATAACAAAAACAAAATTTCCAACATGATAAAAATAAACCCAATGTATCTGAATCCTAAAGGATGAGGTTTTATAGAAAGATTTGTTGCATGCAGCCATCCCTACCCCTTTTATCTACTATTCACCATCATGCTGTTATCTCCAGGCATGTTCTGCAATTATTACATACCCCACTTTCCTTTCTTTGACCTGGCCTTATTACAATATTGAGATTATAAAGGAACCATTATCTAACCCTCAATTCAGTCATTTTATTTATGTAATAAGAAATAACCGATGCAACGGCAAGAAGTCATGACTTAGTAGTGTGCCTGATAGCCTGGCTTCAACTACTACTCCGGAATAAGTAAACAATTTGTAGTATTAGATATGTCAAATAAGAAGAAAAAAAACCAAAGGGTACGGTTCCATAAACACCAACAACAATAATCAATCAAATAACCAGTAATACTCACAAAAGTTAACAGAAAATCTTAACTTCATCTCAGAAAATTAAAACTTTCTTAACCAAATTACACATTTTTTTATTATGTTACACAAAGCAAGAAGGCATGATCAGATGGGATTGGGAATTCCTGTGGGCAGTGTAATATGTAGATACGAGGACGAGTGACATCTTAATTACATGTATAAACAGAAAGTACAATCTAATTTAGAGGTACAAACGGCAGGTACATTTTCCTGGAAAAAGGATTTCAGACTAAGATAGAGATCAATCAAACTCATGACAAGAATATTCATATGAACATGCAAGGGAAGAGAGAGAATAAGGCATGCAACAAAACCCCGATAACTGAATGAAGAAAACTTACCAAGAGCAATTTGCATCTTATCAGTAATAAAGAGACGGGGCTTAGAAACTCTATCAGCAAATGCATCCAGTATTTCTTCCATCCTCCTTATAAAAGTTCACAACATAAAAACAGTTTAAGATCAATAATCTTCACATAATTACATACTGAATAGCAAAAAGACATCAAAATCAAACACAGGCTCCAAAGAATAATAGTCCAAGTCAATCGTGCGCATTCCGAGCAGGCAATCTATAAATGGTGCATATTCTAATTTCTAACAAAGGAACTTGGTCTAGTCAGCTGTAAACAGTTTTTTTCCAAGTTCTATGTTATAGTGCAAGTTAACTAGTTAGAATCATGATGCAACTGTTGTAATTCACTAAAACTTGGAGTAGAGAAATCATTTCCTGCAATGGAGTGTTTCTAAGCCTGTAGATGGCATCTTTGGGCATAAAACAAAGAAGCAATACTCTCATTTGCTAAAGTAAGAACACAAGTTTATAATGCCTCATTTTATACTTCAACGAGCCATATAAGACAATGTGTGGTATAATATGATCAGATCATCGAAGTAAGTGGAACCTCGGCAAAGCTCATGATAATGTATCAAGTAAATAACTATGAAGCTTATTAAATATAGTTGTATTCTACCGAACACAAAACTGCATAACAAGCCTGATGCACATGCATAGTTTTCCATCATAGCTCTTGGTTCATGAATCTCTAGAAACAAACGGCATTCGTCAAAGTCACGAACGCTATAAGAAGCTCCCCAAACCAAACTTCGACCCAAATACAATCAACTGCAAGTGGAAAATGAGCCTACTTGTACAGTCTCCATAACAGAACCCGTAGAGCTTCTTGAAAGGCAACAGAGGTGAGGATGAGAAGTGCGTACGGCCACCACGCAGCGGATTTGAAGGGGAGAAACGCTCTCCAAACTGCCGATAGTGCGATGAGAGTCATCAGCCACGCCAGAGTACTACAGTTCAAAGAAAACGGGTTACAACTCGAAATGCCACAATTTAACATATATAATAACCCAACAAATTGAAACAAAAACCTGGAAAGAAGGGTGAGAATGAGAAAGGGCTTGTGAGAAATGACGGCGATGAAGAGTGAGAGAGAAGGGCCGAGCGCAACCAGCGCGTAGCCGATCCCCGCCGCCATCGTCATCTTCCCTCCACCTGTTCCTGTTGGCTGTAATCCAACAATTCTTCAGCACAATTTGTAGCTCTGCTTTGTCTCGTTCCTAAGATTTTAGGAATTCTTGATCGATAATTTTTGCGGCTAAATTCTTCAGGAGTGTAGTTTGTTTGTTTATAATTTTTTTAAATTTAACTCAAATTTAACTCAAATTTTTATTGTTAATATTACCAATATAATTAAGTAATATCAACAAATCTATATCTATATCTATAAATATATAATCTATTAATATATAATAAAGATTAACATAATTCACTTTTAGAAATATTTTCTCGTCAATTTCATCAGTTATTGCCTAAAAATAGTAAATTAACAAAATCTCTATTTATTAGCATATTTTTTGTATCCAATTTTTTTTATAGGAATACAATCACACTAATAATGTTGTTTATAATTAGATTTTTAATAACATATGATTTTTTCATACCCGAACATTTTATGAGCATTTTTCGCTCAAAATATTAATTACCTACTATAGATAGAAATAATGTAAAATGATCTAAATAAAAAACAAATTATTTATTGAATAATTTTCATATAACTCGATTTTCGGTTTGTGTTTGTTTTAGTAAATTCTTGGTTTCTTTAATTACGTTGATAGTGGTTTTGTAGGCAAATATTATGTAAATAATTATATGTAGCCGATTTTAGAACTCTTATTTATCAAGGATTCTTTTTTATTTTAACAAATTTATTAGAATCATTTATTTGGATTAGCATATATGTTACATACAAAAAAAAAATTATAGTAATATTTAAATTTACATGGCGTCAATTTTGGAATTCTCATTTGTGAGGATTCTTTTTTATTTTATCATACTTATTAGAACCAACAATTATAAAATATAAATTTATATTAATATCTAAATATATTTATATTAATATTTAAATATATTTTTCATTGTAGCAGATTTTGAGAATGAACGATTTTATATGAATATATACAAATCTTTTTTTTTTTTAGATATACACCAATCCCTTTTATTGGTATTTTTTTGTCAATTGTTTTTAAAAGGAAAATTCAAAATTTTGTATAGTAAATCGATTTTTTTGTTTTTGTATACACAAAATATAAGTTTATTGCAATATATATATATAAATATATAGAAATACTCCCCTACCCACGGTGGGTACATGCTAATATGTCCACCGTGTAGGTGGCATACACTCATTGGTGATGTTAATATGTTTAAGAAATACATCACCAATGAGTGCATGCCCCCTACGCGGTGGGCATATTAGCATGTGTCCACCGTGGGTAGGTGAGCATTTCTCTATAAATATAAATTTACTACCTAAAAAGTCATACATATAATTGGAAAACTGTCCAATTAAAAATTGTTCAGTTTGAAAATATATAACAAGTTGTCACACATTCAATTAAAAATTGTTCGGCTTGAAAAAATTAGCCTGAAGTAATTTATAATCACTGATGTTTTATATTTTATATCTACTATATATAATCTCTCTCATAAAATTAGTGTGATGTAATATTTAATGTTTTGTATTATTCATACATATTCTTGTAGATTTACACCAATTCATTTGTCCAACTGTTGTATAAGTTATCATATTATAAATAGATCCATCTTAAACTTCCATTTAAGTTCCAGCGGCACCAGTTCCTTCTGATTTTGGGTTCCATTTAACAGTCATGGTCAGTCTTTATCATGTTCCATTTAACAATCAAGTATAATCGATATTAAACTAACAGCTCATTGTCTGACTGCCTAAGTAAATTATCATATTATAAAAAGATCCATCTTAGGATTTCATTTAAGTTCTAGAGCACCAGTTACTTCTAATCTTAGGGTTTCATTTAAAATCAGTGTCAGTCTTTATGTGCGTTGACATATTATTAAAGAAATCGATTCTTAGCAACGACCGATTATATGTTGTTGTTTTTACGTGTAAGTAATAGATAAGAGATGTGCATTGGCCTGTTCCTAAAAAATCTTTTTTTAATCACGACCAATTGTATGTTGTTACGCATGTAAGTAATAGGTCAAGAAGAGTCAAGGTCAACATTTATTGTACGTTGGCATGTTAAGCAATAGATCAAGAAGAGTCAAGGTCAACATTTATTGTACGTTGACATGTCCTTAAATAATTAATTTTTAGTCACGGACAATTATGTTGTTTGTTTCGCATGTAAATAATAGAAAAGTGTTGAAAATATTAGTTTGTGGGGCGACGAGTTGCTTAGTTATTGAACAAATAATGTTGTGTACAAGAAAGTTTAAATAATATATTTTTTGCATGAAACATTTTATGATTTGATAATTTTCCTACAAATTATCACTCTTTTATTTATTAATACATTTTAATTTTTAATATTCTCCAAAGTAAATACAGTTCGTGCATCGCACGGGTTACATACTAGTTTGGAGCAACAACAATAAATTTTATTCTCATGCATTTAATTATATTCTCCCTCCAAAATTTTCAGCATTTAATTATATTCTTTCGCTTCCCGCCTACTGCTACATACATTATACTATTTTTTTCTGATTTTTAATTTTCGTTGTTATCTTACATAATCAATAATTAAATGTATTTTTCACCTAAAATTTTTTATTATATTAAGATGATAATCCTCTGTTTTTCAATAAATTACAACCTCAAATCATACACTTTATTTGAATTATTTGACATAAAACGTGTAAGCAGTGATATATAATCATTTTAGTAGCAAATAATTAAAAAATAAATCAAATTACAAAAATTACATATTTAAATTGAAAAAATATTAATATCCAATATGTTGTTGCTATTGTACATGCAAAATAACAACAAATAAATTAATTCTTAAATATTAGCTATATAACACAATATCATAACATCATTCTATAATTAAATATTAGCTATTATAACAAAATATCATAGCATTACTCAAGATCTGTTATCAAACATCTCAGCCGTCCACTTCAGAAATTATTATTATTAAATGCAGGATTCTGATTAGCAACTGATTTGACTTTCTTAATTCCTATGGCTAAAATCATGCATAAATAAATACCTATACGCTTTTAATTTTTTTTATGTCAAACAGGTAATACATTTACATAATACACACCTATCAAGCAAATAAAATAATAAATTATATATAAGCTGAAATCAGGATAATACTATTCCTGTTATACTTTTTCTTTATTTCTTTATTTTATTATCTTAAATCATGCCCAAGAAATGTGTCTTCATAGCAGATTTTCATACACTGACCATATTTGTTATTACAAATTTTGTTGTTTTCCTGTTTAACATTCATTGACTTTATATTATAAATATCTGCCAGCATAACTCCAATTTTTCATTCAAACTCCTATAATTTTTCAGAGATTACATAGCAGTAAAAACTGAACATAAATGGCCCAAAACTATGAAAAATCTCCTTCTTCAATGAAAACATGGATAAGGGAATTGAGTTGAAACTGGTCAGACTTTACCAAAAGACTTCCGGTGACGATCCGACAAAGATTTCATCATTGGAGTTCGTATTTCACAATTTTGAAGTAAGTATTCAGTTTATTATAACTTTTAAGAAACACTATGTCATACTTATTACTCATAATTTTTTTGTAACATTTATTTACATAGGGATACCGATTTCATGCCACAGCACCAGGAGTTTTATTCAAAAAATTCAACGACCATCATCTCGAAGGACGTTTATATGCGATTACGTGGTACAAAGTCGTGAAAGACACCAACCAATTTAAAACCACTCCAAACAGCTGCAAATTTTTATTTTATCAAAGGACTGAATTGGTTGAGACTACAAATGAAAGCTTTCATCAATCAATCTTCAAATTCAAAAAAATTGGAGACTTGATCGATAAGAAGGCCTTCAAACCTACATTGCTCATAGGTGTGTATTTGTTTTTTTTTTATTATCATTCACAATGTACAAACAAAACTTATTATGCATAATCATTAAATTATTACTTTTATTTTGTAGATATCATCGGCCGAATGGTTATGTTCCATAACACTCGCAAGGCTGAGTCAAGGGGCGTTGAAAACAATTATGTTGAAGTTGTATTAGAGGATTTGAAGTAAGATTATCTTTATTCATGTGTTTATAACATGTTTGAATTTTTTCTAATTAAAAATTCTAATATCTTATATTTTTTTTTTTTTTATAGTGGAAGACAAATCACATGTACCCTTCATGAAGTGTATGCTGAATTTATTATGAATTCATTCAAAAATGCTTCACCTTCCGACCCACGAGTAGTCATTATTCAAATGTGTCGGGCAAAGGCTTTTGAAAATGGTATATTATACTCATTTTTAAATAATTAAATTTTAACTCAACTCCACTAATCTCAATATAATTAAATAATAAAAACCAATCATTCTTACATATCACATTTCATCCACTCACATAATTTTAATTAACTATCACTCACATTATTTCTCTTCTATTTTTACATCAAATCAACATCAATTACTTTATTTTAAGTAATATTTAATATAAAATTAAAATTCCACAAATAACTAACTATCCAACTTTTTTTTAAAATTAACCCTGATTAATCGAAATAATTCATTTTGAGCATGCACTAAATAGTTTATTGAGTATTTTGCAATAAAGATTCATTAACTAGAATTGACTATTGTGCAGTACTAACTGTACAATTAACTTAAATTATATGGTTAAGGTTAAAGATAGTTTGAAACTTTGGTTATTATATGTTCATATCTTTTTCACATATAAAGTATAAAGGTGATGAATTCCTCTTGTTATTTTTAAGTATTTTCTTTTTACAAATTAATTTTCGAAATTAAGTTATAATTTTTTATCTTCACTAATTTTTTGTCATATGATAAATTTTTATGAGTATATTTTTTTTTAAAATAAAAACATTACGAACTATTTACCATATTTGGCCTAAAGCCTAAAAATTTCAAGGACCGACTCTGATGTAAGTTAAATAATTTATATTTGTATTGTTATTTTTTACCGATTATAAAATTTATAAAATATAGTATAATCATTAATCATTATCTAACTTATCTAAGGTATGATTATAAATATTATCTATTAATATATAAAAAGGCAATGATATTTACTAGAAATAATAACTAAAAATTAGTAAAAAATATTTGTTTTCCCGCCAAAAAATTTAGATTCAATAAATTGAGTAAATTTTTTGCTAAAATTTGAAAATCCCACCTAATTAATGTAATTAATGTAGATAATCATTTTGGTCAAATATTGCGGCTATTACCTTTATTAGTTGCATGATTAAAATTTAGAATATAATATATAGACAAAACTTGCAGTTATTACCTTTATTAGTTGCATAGTGTAAAGTTGGTATATTATATATTAAAAAATAAAAATAAAAAGATTATTATTTAAAATTACAAATCACAAATAATTATTCATAACTTACGTGTCAATATTAACTTGGACGTAAACTAAATAGTCATTTATTTATGGTTTGACAAGTTATTCAACTACTTAATTTTTTTATTTGAAAAATTTATACAAATAATTTTTTAAGTAATGAAACAATATAAATATTATATTTCTACTTATTATTCACATAGGTTGTTAAAATATAATAATTTACCAAAATAACTATTTTATGGAATCATATTAGAGTCAAATCAAATTTATGAATACAAAAATTTGTAATGACACTTATTTTTAAACAAATATAATGCAATTTATTATTAGTTATATATGTAAATTATACATATTGATTTCATATTTTGAATCTATAAATATTAATTAATATCTCTTACTCGTGCACTGTACATGACTCATCTCCTATATATAATTTCCGAATATGCTGAGTCTAAGTAACAGACTCGTATGTTTCGGGATCCTAGGTGTCAAAATTCCATGCTTTGTTATTTGACTTGGATATATTTTAGTTTAATTCAAATCTAAAAGTAATTAAGCCCGAATTGCCATAAACATGTTGATTTATTTATGGTCAATTTAGATGTATTAATTGTATTTTAATATATTTACAAAAAAAATGTATTTTAATATAATTTCTTATTATAACCATTGAATTGTAAATGTATTTTAAAAATTGATAACTTTTGTATATCTATCAGTTTTACATATATAATATATCATCTTAATCATCTTTTGGTGAACTTCGATTTGACGTCCATATTGTATATATAAAATAAATAAATTATATTTATCTTTATAACAATAATAAAATAAATTACGAAAATAAAATTATTTCTCGACTAATATATATATGTTTAATGTAGTTATATGTTATAAGTTAATAAATTATTATAATGTAATATAATTAAGTCGCACAAGTACAAGTATCATACTAAAATATATAATAATTTATATTTTTTTATAAAAAATATTTTACCTTTTCAACCACTTTTTCTTAGCCATGGCCAGCCGGGCCGGAGGGCCTCCCATGGTGATCCTTAACCGGCCCGTAAAAAACCAAGGGCCCGGTCCGTCGAACCGGCCCGGCCTTATCCCGGACCGCCGGGACAAAAAAAAAAGGACCTGGACACTGCCCGTAAAGCCACGGTTCCGGTTCTCGGAACCGGCAATCTATAGGCTGGGCCGAACCGAGCCGGCTCGTGGCCATGTATTCTTTTTCTCATTAGTTTTAAATTTTAAGAAATAAAAAAAAAATTAGCAAATACCATGTAATACGCGGATGTTGTACTACTAGTAGTAGTAAATAGTATACACACATATAATGATTTTTTTTTATGTTTATATTTGTGCACGTGTAGTTGATTTGAAACTAATTCAGATTTTGATTTGAATCTATTTCAGTAAATACTATGAGATGAGAGAGATTATTGGTTTTCTTTTCTATACTCGAGCTTTTGGCATCAGAGTTGCTACTAGCTGCTCAATCAGGGTCGCCTTTTCGAAGCTTCATCGTCGATGCCGGCGTTTCAAGCCCTAGCTTGACGATCCCTTCATTTGCTCAGCTCTAACCACCGAATTCCGGTGATTCATATCATACCCACTTTTGATTATGCATCTGCGTTTGAATGAATTTTCAGCATTTGCGTGAAATCCTAATTGTTATGTGCTTTATAGTCTGGGCTGTAGATTTTCAGATCTTAAGTGGGAATAGAGAATGCAGCGTCCGCCATCGACTGTGGAGGAGCAGTTGATACTAAAAGCAATTGGAGAAGAATGCATGTGGGAGGGCCTCCCCAAGCGCTTGCAATCTACTTTGAATTCTAAGGAAGAATGGCATCGAAGGTTTGAATTTGTATTCTCATGCTTCATCCTGCTTTGCATTTCTCTGATTATATGATAGAACACTTTTTGGGTGGGAATATGGGTCGAAATTTTGAATCGCTATCATCATTGGTTTCCATCCAGTGTAGATTTATTATTATCATCTGGAAGTTTGCTATATTTTGAGTTAGAGATTGGATATTGATACAATTTTACACGTGTTAGCTGAGTGTTACTCGGTATGATCTTCAATGTTTCTCTCTGTTCAACCGGATTGTGGCGGATGACATTTTGTTTATTGAAATAATTCTTTAGTCGGTGTAGTTTATGTTGGCTGCCGGAAATGTGCAGAATGGATCGTTTACTTTTAGGCCTAACTGCTTATTAAAACTTAAATTGAACCGGATTGCCGCGAAAATCAATCTTCTTATAGTTTGTAGAAAGAAATGACTTTCAGAGAAGTTGCAAAACGAACCAACACCGGCATAATAACTTGTTGACAACTGTACAGTTGACAAATGTCTTCTCATTTTTTTGCACCTAAAAAGTTCGTCTTTACTGAACCTCGGTTAAAGTTAACGATTTAATTTTTCGTTGACTCTTATTATTGTTATTATTACCATTGCCATCATTATTACTACCGCTACTGCTATTATTGTTGTTGTTATTATTATTTCATGTTGGAGAGTGACTCTGGTGCTGAAAGTTTCTATTATGTCGGCTTATTTAATTCAATTGGTTTAGCTCAATTTAGTCTTTCTTATAATGCAGGATAATTGACCATTGTATCAAGAAAAGGCTCTCCTGGAGTGCTTGCTTTGCTCGGAAAGTATGCAAAGAGGGTGAATATTATGAAGAACTGATGCGTTATCTTCGAAGAAATTTAGCGGTCTGCTTCATGGATAAACCATCATCCATTATTTATTGTGTGCTAATTAATTGTTGCTAGTAGTAGTGAAGTTGCTGGTAAATTTGCACCCAATAGAATGTCAAGTGATCATGGATTCCCCTTGGAAACTATGAGACTGACTAAGAGCTTAAAAATTTAAATTCTCATGTGAGGCTGCTGCAGTTGGAGATGATAAGGGTAAACGGGATAACTAGAAGCGCAACTTAATTGGTGTAATATGTAAACAAAAACCCATGAACCTTACTGGATAAAATTAAATCCTTCTATAGAATGCTATTTTTTAGTTTTTTGAAAGGACACACACACGCATAATATATATATATATATATATACATTGTACTTATTTTCATCACGTGGACTTTCTTCCTCGAACAATTTTGACTTCCCTTCTACTTAGGGAACAAGACATTGTGGAGCCTGGTATACAGAACAAATGTGCGTTCTTTGTTACTCTAGAATTTGATAGCATCTGTTGTCCTAAAAAGAGAGAGAGAGAAAAAAAAGAATCTGATAGCAAATTGGATGCCTTTGTGACGTTATATACTTAAATTGTTTTTTTGTTTAAAAAAAAATAAACAAAATAATAATAGCTGTCAAAAACTTGACTATATAATATAGTGTGTTGATGTTATATTATATCAATGTCCAGCTTATATTTGTTGGTGTTATTATTGACTTCTCATTGATTTTGCAGCTCTTTCCTTACCATCTTGCCGAATATGTTTGCCGCGTTATGAGAGTTTCCCCCTTCAAATATTACTGTGACATATTGTTCGAAGTGATGAAAAATGGTATGAAGATGCCAAAAGAGCTTCCTTAATCTATTCCTGCAATGTCTGCTTTCAGCAGTTCTTACAAATTTATTCAAGTTAAACTTCACTTGCTATCTGACTGTACTAACATAACTGTATATGGCATTTTATATCAATGGAGGTGAGTTCAACTCTATGTCCATGACCTGTGGATGATTCATGGTTTGCTCGTGTACACTTAAACCCTTTTTATGCACTCTAATTTGTTTCATTTGTGTTTTTTAATTACCTTCTACCTACATTTTAACAACTCTGAAGTAATAAATTTATGATGGACTACTAATGATTCATGATCTAAGTTCTATTAGCACACGTGAAGTACTGTTCATGAAAATAATATACGATTCATGTAATATTAGTAGTCTCCATTTGATTACTTGTACTTCACCTATATAGTTATTTATTTTCAACAATTGCGTGATTAATATTATATTGATGCAGTACTCTGACGTCTATACACAAATGAGGATCCGAGCATGTCAGTAATTGTAAAGTTACTCTCTTGCTTCACTAAACTATGCACTTTCTTTATTAGGAACGCTAAGGATGTAATTTCGTTCATTTTTCTTATACCAGAGAATACCCAAGGAAAAAATTTTGGGAGGAGATTTAATAGATGATGAATTTAATAATCGAAGTTTATTTAAATGAATGGTAAACTAATGATTGGTCTATAGAAATATGCGTGTCGATGAATAGTGAAATTTGTTGGAAATTGTGTATTAGTTGTTGGTCCTTTCTTAAAAATTATTTAGATAAGATTCATGAAAAAAAAGTGAGAATGAATCAATAGTGTATCTTGGTGACCCTATAGGTATCTTGCAATGCTGTTAGTAGCTTAAACATGACCAGTCTCTCAGAGAAAACTCAATCCATGGTTTGCTCAGAATTAGTTCTATATGAGCTGCTGCAGCTTTATCTCTATGTGGGTAGCGATCCACTTTTATTTGATTGAGAACCATAAATTCTTCTAACTTCCATGTTATATTTGTTATACTTGTCGCACTGGTGTAATGTCTGGTTATATAAATGACAATGAAAATATTGTGTTTTAAAAATTGATGTGTATGGTTTTTTCTGCATTACATTTCAGAACAACCCTATGACAGCATCCCTAACTTTAGTGCGGCAGATGCGCTGAGGCTCACAGGGATTGGAAGAAACGAATTTATTGATATCATGAACAAATGCAGATCTAAGGTAGGGGTTTAAGAATAGTTCATGACTGTTGCTTCTATACATATTAAATAGTCGTTATATATATATAATAAAGCACCAAATTAACTTAGATGCTATTATTCTTGTTTTCTATTCTTGATGTCTGAATGTTCTTTTGAAGTTCATCAAGTTAGCAATGTTTGTTTGTACTTCATAGACATTTTAAAACTTTTTTAAGCATTAAATTTAGTCTCTTCAGTTAATTGGATGGACAAATTGAATCAATTTAAAGATTTTTAATTTTTTCTTTCCTGGGAAAAGCCTGTTCGTTGGGTATGTTTTTTTAATTTATATAGTATCATTTCAAAATATGATAAGATTTGAAGCACTAGGTTCATGTTGTAAGTGATAGAACAGCTCTGCCAGTCAATTGCAAACATTGCAGTTCTTAATCAAGAACAAAGTGGAAGAACTTAGAATCCTCTAGTCAAAAAGGAATTCCAAGATAAACTTCCCCATATAAATTTATGTAGAATTCGTATGAATTTGATGTTTTTTGAAAATGGATACACATAGGAAAAATTATGCAAATACCTAAATAAAATTAAACTGAATTTCTGGAATGTTCCGCTCGAAATTAATGACCTTGAATCCGACACAATTTCTTTGTTGTGTCGCATATCCCGCTGCTGCTTTAGGTGAAATAGTGATTGGAGATAACCCAACTGTTGGCGTTTTCATTATATGGCCAAATTACATAAATGTTGGGAGTTTTTGATATCACATACAATGTGGTCGTCATAATATGGAATCTAACTTGATTTTAACTTTTTGGAGCTTTCCAGAAAATTATGTGGAAGCTGAACAAGTCAATAGCTAGAGAACTCTTGCCAATAGAACCTGTGGAATTTTTAATTGAACCATGGTGGGGAGTTTGTCTTGTAAACTTCACTTTGGAAGAATTCAAGGTCGGTGGTCTTTGTATTTTTCCATTTGCCTTTTGGATGGTCAAATTCCTGTTAACTAACTTGAGGTTTCTCTGCCTTCTCCTCCTCTCACTTGCTCTTTCTTAGAAACTCTCAGATGAAGAAATGGCAACTATTGACAAAATCTGTAAGGAGGAAGCAAATTCCTTCATTCTTTTTGACCCCGAAATAATTAAGGGTCTATATCGACGGGGCCTCGTGTACTTTGATGTTCCTGTGTATCCTGATGATCGCTTTAAAGGTAATTTTCGGTGCAATTCCCATTTGGGTTTCACTCCAGACATCTCCTCACCTGCTCCTCTGGAAATGAGAACCAAAATTGAACTATGGGGAACGTAGAGCAAACATATTCTAAAACTTTTGATCTGATCTCCCTAATCTACTGAATGGTTCAACTGTCTTTTTTT